CAGTATGGACTGCGAAAAACACTATAAACTGAGTGCTAAAATGCGTGGAAATATGTACTTCGTGTCCGTGAACAAAACGCAATTATCATGCATTTACATAATTTAATAAGCAATGAAAATTACACATTTTCGCTCCAATATGTGTAGTGTTGCGACTTATCTATAATTATTGCCGATATTAGCACACAAATCCATTAAATGAAAACCAATTTGCAGAGCTTAACTTGTAAAAAGCAATTAAACACAACTTTACTATTGAAACAGTAGTCCTTTATTAAACATCGCAGATGTCCCTAAATTATTTTATTTTATAGAATCATATTATAATCACTACATCATACCCGTGTAGCAATTTCACTGGGAAAAATTACACACCCATGTTTATGACTGGATGTTTTAAAAAATTATTTGTACATAGAAAATTTTTACAACTAAAAAATATATAAAAAAGACACAACTTGTTCCATCTATAATAGCTTTATAATGTTGCATATGACATCGTTAACAAGTGAGCTAGTGTTCGATTAAATGCGAGCGTTTCGAATAATGGCAATTTAGATAAAACAGTTGATAAACAGCTGAGTGATATCAAAATCAAATACATAATAATACTATATTGTTATAAAAATATTGCTTATAAGCATTTTTACTAGCATACATGATCTTATTTATATTTTAAATTCATTAATTTTAATAGTTTAAAAAGTAAATAATATCTTAATAATAATTATAACCTATAACTAACAACTAAATTTAATATTATCATTTATCGTCTAAAATAAGAATAAGAATATTGAAGACTATTATTGACGAATTTGAATTATGTTACCTATAATGCATTTTAAATTGCATAAACCTAATTTTGTAAAATTGTTATCTATACTTTGGCCACGGACTGTATTGAAATGAAATTAAATAAAATGATTTATATTATATAATTATATAATAATAAATTATCATAATGATTAGGTATTGATGTATCCATAGACCATATTATATTAGGGAACACATAAGTCAAAAGTAAAAACAAAAAAAACTTGACTACAAAATACAAATTATCAACACTAAATAATGATTAATAAAAAAAAATAATTACCACAGTCTACAGCAAAAGATAGAATATTTAAAAATATGTTTTAATATAAATATTAAAATAATACAAATATTGTTTTCACTTATACGCAAGAAAGTAATTTTAGTAGGAACGTAATACAAATATAAAATACGTATGTTATAATTTTCCTAACTATTTCGCTCACGCGTCACGCTCCCAGATCGAAATCCGCTTACTTCTTTGATTATTGAAAACTGATCAGAATAACAACTATTTTTTTCTTCCTTTTTTGCAACTAAATAAAAGCAAATAATTTTAGAAATAAAAATTCTGTGGGAACTCATTGCTTAAATTATTAAAACAAATTAAAATAGCAGAATCTAATACATGCGGCTATGCATCTTAATTACATATAATGTTGCTCAAATTTTACGATTCCTACTGATCCTTTTCCTATTAATACAATTAATGTTACTTAAAAGTGTAATGATTTATTTTCCCAATGACGCAACTCGATGTGAAGATAACAACTGCACGGGAATGAGTGAAAGGGTATACGAAAAGGCCTACATTGGATAATACGGCATAATTACTAGATACTTATCAGGTATTTTTTTTCGAGATTAATAATAGAGGTCAAGAGTCAGGCCAATACTCCCGTCATATTTATTCTTATTGTAAGATTAACAAAAAAAAAGTGTATTATACATGTGTGGTGGTTGGGCAATTTTTTCAGAAGACAATACCTGTACGGGATAATTCATTTAACGTAAGACGAATTAATTGTTTCATAAAAACTAATAGTTTTWGAAAATATTTGTTTTACCATTTTTATCGTTATTGTTTTATTTTTATTTTTAAATTACAACATGTGATGTTAATTTTTAATTACAAAGGAGCATATTTTTTTTGAAGTACTTCGATGCATAAAAATACAATTTCAGGCAAGTATTTCATGGATGTTAAAAATATTTATAGTTTTGATACGCGGAATGGAATGGTGTGCACAATACAAAAGTACTTATACCCTGCAAAATGTTGGTCGACTATTCAGCTCAAAAATATTTTAAGCATTCGAAACTAAAAGCATTTTTCCAAAATTTGATTTTAAAGATCGGAATACTCTAATTTCAAAAGATCTAGGATCTAGCTTTGGAATAGGAAAATAAATGTATGTCATCAGTTCATCACTTATCAATTTATCATTCAATGGAGTAAAATAACTAATAACCCGACCACTAATAAAAATATATAATTTTTTCCTTCAAATGTTATTTTATTTATGAGTTATTACTATTGAAAACTATATAAACAAAATATTTTCAAAAATTATAGTGTTTTCTGAAATAATAAGTGTCTTACGTTAAATGGAACACTCCGTATATTATACTAATAGAGTAATACATGGGCGCATCGTGCATGTTATTGTTGTCGCTTGATAGACACTGCAGTTATGTTCAACCGTGATTTATAAATAGGAGGATATAATATTATAATCTATAATGTTAAGCAATAAATGAATATTTATGTAATGTAGTATTACTACATTATTATAAAAAGTAGAATATAATAATATCATGTTCTATGAAAACATGGTCAATAAGGTATTAACCAAAGATAGACGCATGTTTACAGGAAGTGTGATATTGTTTGTTTTTATATTTTTTATTTTTTATTCGAAAATGTGATAACGCGTTACCTACGCATTCTCGCTGGCTCGAAAGAACATATCRATGACGAAAGTGTATGTGGCGCTGTTTTAATGATAAAAGAAAAAACATCGAATGCATGTTTAAAGTGAAATTTATACTACACACAGTGGTTGCGATAAATTATGAGTATAAACCCCAGTAATCAGTATACACAATATATAGAGTTTAGGGCTAAGCGTAGGTATACACCATACATACTACTTTTGTGTTTACACTGTATATAGATTGAGAAATATTGAAATCATCTCGTTTGTATATATTATTTATAGGTACACCGGTTGGTTCGAATCATCACTGTTAAAAAATGTATTTTACACACGTGATGAAAATCGTATAAATGGAATTAGTTTATAAGTAGGTACTGTTGTCTGTACTTGTTTGAATATGGGATGTAACTAAACTAATGATATCGAACAGTTTCCCAATATTTAAAGGTGTATACACTATATATAGGCATACTGTATATACACTTAATATTATAATGCACCATTTAACAATTACTGATAGTGACTTTGCGAATAGTTACAATTTTGAGAAAGAGCTTGAGAGTGTATTTAATAATAATAATAATATAATAATATGTTAGCATTGATATATTATGTAAATATGAATAAAGCAATTTTTATTTTCGAGCATAACTRTAGTTGAGCATATGCATTCGTCCGACAAACAATTAGGTATGCATCAATCAAGATTTGTATATTTTCACGAGTTTTGATTAAATTATACAACACGGGCCAATGGAAGCTGCGTCGTGTGACGATTGGCTGGTTGCCGGTTTTATGATTCCGAATAAAATTATCTTTACGGCAGCAATAAAAAAAACCAACACCTTATGGTTGTTCTTGTGGAATTATATTTTACGTTGGAAAGAACTGCACTTTTAACGGCGTTACATCGTTACAAGATAAAAGTTTCATGTTAGGTTAATTAGTTCTGGTATAGACTTGGCCTTGGCGGGTATGCTTAAAAATAGTTTCGTGACAAAATTTTCAGCTAAAAGAAGTACCGACTGTACGCCAAGTTGAGATAAAATTTATAAATTTACGTTTTACATGATACAAATAATGGGAGACAAACATTTTAATAGTATGTACATTTACTTATTATAATTTTTATGTTTATGTATTACACACGGCGAGCGATAGTTTCTTGATTAAAATACATACGTTATATATATTTGATAAAATAAACCTATGAATATTCCAATGACATTAACATTTGAGTATTTTACAAGTTACAATACTGACCCAGAAAAAATTATTTGTRCTTAGTATACCTACGACGTCTTAATGGAAATCATAGGTCATCGGGAATTTCGTTCTTGAAGAGAACATGTACACAAATGCCACATACTTATTATACACAACACATTAACACTCTTCCTTTCACCGAGTTCCTTAATCTGTGATAAATGCTTGTTTCATTTTGTTTTTTTATTTATAAGATTATGGATGATAGTATCTTGTATGTAATTATAAACGTTTCGTCGGTGTTGTTTTTTTGATGAGTTTAACGACTTAAACGTTAATGCATACAAATAAAAAAAACATAACTTCACCGTTGGACTACATTGGCCATCATTAAGATCAGAAGGAATTTTACTACACGACCCAGCTCTATAGGTATCAGTCTCATTCGAATTGATAAGCGAATCAATTATAGCAACGAAACAGTAAATAAATTTAATACCRCACCTGTTGTTAAATATAACAAGTAGGTACGTATAATATTGATTKTTAGTCACAACACTCACAACTGATGATGTAAAAATAATGTTCTATACAAAAAAGTCAACCCTAAATTTCCTGTCCACCGGCATTCCATGAGACGCGTACGAAATCCATAATTTCTTCAYGGGATAAACAAACAGTAGTTGCAATAGGAAAATAATAATATTTGATTGCCTAAAAAATCATAGTATCCTCTGCGATGATCATAAATTGAAATCCGTAGGTACTTAATATTATAATATTATTAATTGACAACCTACTACTAATAACCTACCTAACTTAAAACTTCTATCGATATGATGGCGGTAATGGTAACGCGTTTTATAAAAAAACTTTTAGTGTGAAGGGAGTGGTCAGGCGTTGAACTTCGAGAAGTCGGGCGATAACGTTCCTTTTTTATTTTTCTAAAGCCATAGTAAAGGGTACCTATGTTTTGGTGCAGAGAGTACAGCTTATAAAGTGGCTGGTAAAAATGACTAGATAAAAGATGAAAAAACTTACGAGTAACCGGACGGCGCGTACGCCGCGGCGATGTTGTCCTGTATCATAGTGTCCGGCTCGGGATCGGCGACACCAGACGAAGAAGACATTGTTGATGGCGAAAATCTTGTGGGAACGCGGTCATGTCAACGACATGTCTTACGCGAAAACGGTGAGAAAAAAATCAAAAAGGAAAACCCCGTGAAAYGAAATCGAAAACGACCCGATATGTGACGGAAAACCGCGGGAACGGTATCGGGTATAATATTATGTTTCCGACTGCGGCTAAAACTATGAGACAAAAGTTCTTACCACAGTATTATTATTATTTTCCTAAACGGCACGGTGACAACGAAGTCACGATGGAATTYGATTGAATAAATTCAATTAACTATCTTTCGTCTATCCAACCACTATCGAGAGCAAACATGTAGCGCACTCGCRAATTTTCGTCCCACGAATCGTTGGCGATGCGACGTCTTATAATTTTTTTTTTACACTTTCTTGTTGATGGCAAAACTCCGAAACAAACTAACGAAAAAAATTTAAAAAACCGACGGCCGAACGACGTTACGTGAGCGCGGGTGAGCAGATTCRACGTGTGTGCGTTTTCGTTTGCGCGCGCAAGAACGAACAACTTGAACAGCCGGACGAGTTATGRCGTACTGAATCGGTTTCGGTCAGCGCGCGGTGTGCGCAGGACGGCCATAGGGAATAACCGGCACCTATGCGTGTTACCTGGCCTTCGTGCGCCGCGCGCTGCGCTAGTGATGTGCCGCCACCGYAGTATAATATTGTAATGTATGTAGTGTTTGGTAATATGGTATATACCTGGTATATACCTGTAGCACGGTTGCGTGGTATTGCGAACTCTTCTCCCGGTAATCATAGTAGTAATAATAATTTTAGGTAGGTAGGTAATAATGTTTTGTACCGAAACGACCGTGGCCAATCGGGGCAGAATTACGACTTACGAACGCAAAAAAATGTACATTTTTAATACTACTACGCGTACGCACGTTCTACGTATATCTATACTCAGTGAAGACTGTAGAAAAATTATAACAAACCAAATATATTGACTAAAGGTATTTATTAAAATAATAGAATAATTTTGCTATTACTGATATTTGATTATATAATTATGTTAATTGTTATTATTTATGGTTTAGACTTTAGATGCGCATGCGTATTAAAAACAGTATAACAGACGACAGAATAATCGGATATTTTTATCTACTCGTTTTGGAATACTCCGTGTTTCGGTGATCATCCATCAGCCTTTGTGCAGATAGTTCAGATAGTTGTAAGAGGTAAATCACATAACCTAATATTAATATTTATTAGATGGCTTTACATTGGTTTAGTTGTGCACACGAATTAAGATATATCTATATATCTTAATTCGTATTGTGCCACACGGGTATTTGTTGTCTCCGTCTTACAAACGTACAACATGGCATATTTTACGTTCATAATAATACGTTTTACTCTGCAATTTCTAAAATTAGTGTGAATTTACCTCTTCTAAAATTTAAAGACAAGAATATCACCAACGGTGTCTCGAAGTATTTAATTGATATTATTAATTTTAAGTAACTTATGACCATTTAAAATTTTTTTTGTACATTTTAAAACGTACATAACTTACTTAGAAATAATATCAATAAACCCCTTCGAGATACCCCAGATAATATTCTTGCCTTTAAATTTTATACAAGGTAAATTCTATCTAATTTTAAAAATAACAGAGTAAAATGTATTATTGAGAACGTAAATTTGCCATGTTGCACATTTGGAAGACGGAGAAAACAAAGCCCGTATGGCGTCCGAGAATTCATTGAAATGTGAGATTTTCTAATTTTTTTTCGAACGACTAAAAGATATTGTATATTTGCTTCAATTTAAGAACATAATTTTTATTATCACTTTTACAAAATTTACTAGTGATTAACTTTTTGTCTTAAAATTATAGAATATCATATACATGAAAATGTGTCATGTTAAATCTCGATATATAATATAAATTTTATTTGATAAACAATTTATTAATATATTTTAAAGGATATCCTCTTATAGAAAAATCTAATTATTGGAATTCTGGTTATACAATTGACAACTTTAATGGTTTTATTAGAAACATATTTAAGGTTGATGTCTATGAAATATATGCTTTACAGCTCTGATTAGTCTATATCCAACCAGCTAAGATCCCATATGTAGAATACGAACTCTGCAGTCAATACTCAATAAATGAAAATATTACTTAGTTTTCCAAAAAGTAATTTTGAACTATTAACATTTAAATATTATTCTATAACTAGAAATATTATTTATATTACAATAAATTTTTCAAAAACAGATTTGAATATTTGATATTAGCTKATTATTGTAAGTAAAATCTATAAACCTATTAAAATAAATACTTATATTGAGTTTTCATTCAAATATATTTATCAATATTTAATCAACTAGATATTATTATTAAAAGTCCTGTTTATGAATTTAGTGAATGATTTATTTTTATTAGGTATTAATGTTGAAAGTAAATTATTTTTAATTTGTATGTAATAAATTATAATTAATGGAAAATAAAACATGATGTGGGATATATTGTATCTAGTTGGTATACATTGACCATTGTGTRCTCAGTTTTTAGTTCCCAAGCTCTAGAAATTCACTACTCGTTATTCAGTTTAATTTCAACAAAATAATATGTAGAACGTATATGTAATATTTACCTATAGTATAAGCAAGAACTTATATTTTAAAAACGATTTTTATACTAAATCATATCTCATTACTATAAATCGACGTTTTAAAAATGTAATGCTGTATTATAGACTTCATTAACAATACAATTTTTAGAATGTTTTATGCAAATTATTTTGCTATGAAATATTCTAGTATACAATATTTGTAAGTATAGATATTATAGAWACATAATATTTTTTTACTATTTTGTGTAATCAAGATGTCTAATGCCAAAACTAAAAATAAAAACAAAATATATATACCCACGTCATATAATATCTAAGAGACTTAAACCAGCTGTTATATTTTTTTCATACAGCGTATATTGTGAATTTTAGAGTCATTAAGAATTGCAGGTTAAATGGGTGATTTTAAGTATATTACAATCTATATTAGAAGTATTAATATAGGTATTAATTGTTATGAAACCAAATAAAAAACGACCTGTAGGAAGGCCAAGACAACGGTGGTTGGACCGAGTAAAAGACGACCTGAAGAGATTAAGCAATGGAGCAAGTATTGTGGATGCAGAAGATCGAGAACTTTGGAGAACTTTGGTAGAAGCTGCGA